ATGCCTGCGCTCTGTAGCTCCCAATTTTGGGGTTTATGTTGATTCAAGTATTAAATATATCGTAACTCGGCATGAATCCCACTGATCCTTTGATATCCGGGTTAACATCTTCCTGAAAAGCCACTTTGGGTGTGAGACTAGAAATCCCCGGCGTACTTCCAAGAGGGAAACTATTCCCAGGTAGTTCCGAAGCGTGATTCATGGGGTAGTTCAACAATGAAGAAGTCAGCGAAACTGGATTATAACCAGGGGCTCAAATATTTTTTGAATCCCGTTTCTTGTAGGGTCATTAGCAGCAATTCCGTTGGATAATATAGGCTGCCCCATCGGTGAGAGCGAGGTCTCGGAGCATGACCGAGACTGGAACCATTGAGCATCTGCCCTCTCGCTTATGGCTGAGCCATTTGCATCAATAACGGTTTATTTTGGCTACTTTGTGATCCATGGGAAGCAACCTGCATATTCATGTATCCCACCGATTGCACAGTGTGGTGCAACCCGGCAAGCTGCTTCGGCTCCACAGTCATCGGAATTCCATGAAGTAGATTCATTTGCTTATTATTATTGACATGCTGTTGTTGCCCTTATCTGAATCTTAACTTCGGGTTTTCAAAGCTCTAAACATTTCTTTGATCAACGAGAGGCATTAGTATGCCCGATTTACCAGTCGACCGACCGAGCGCTGCTGCAGGAAGCTTACCAGTGGCACAAGGGTTTGAAGATCGAGCCCATTAAGCGAAGACAGTGTCCCGAAAATTTCTTCTTCGGGACTCATAAAAGAATTCGGATTACTCAGGTGTTGTGATACCCCGCTCAACCGTCTAAGATACAAGCGATATTTCTGATCACACACAATAACAAAGTAATTTTCATCAAATTTTATTAAATGCAAATGCAGGCAAGTAAAAGTTCTGGTATTTAGCAAACTGGAGCATACCTGAAGGTGGCTGGCAACATTTTCTCTAGTAAGTCCGGGGACGTTCATCAACTCCAAATTTTCTTCGGGACAGACTGTATTAAAAGATCAACCAGAAAAAATCATACAAGAAAGACAGCAGTGTTTGAAAGACGGCAAATCGAAAGAAATGGGATAAAGACTCATACTGTCAATGCCTAGTTGATTAACTGCAGCGACAAACTGTTGATGGAGCTCAACAGACCAAACAACCCTCGGCTTCTTTAGCATCGATGTATCATCCCTCTCGTCGGTTTCATATTCATCATCCTTCCTCCGTTTTGAGCTTTTCCAATTCCCTTCATTAGCCGAGGATGAGTAATCTGTGTCATTAGACTGTTTTAGATGCAGATATCCTTCTACACTTCCCGATTGCCCAAAGTCCTTCCCCTCGTTCTTCCTCTTCCGAACCACATGCTGCCATATGTTCTTCAGAGCCTCAATACGAACTGGTTTGATTAGGTAATCGCAAGCACCGTGCGTAACACCCTTCATAACAACATGTTTTCCATCATCCGCAGGCATCACTCAGAAAGTAAAAGCATGATATGAGGACCGAAAACCACTCGAAACTCGATCACATCTCGATATATAACATCAATGAACTATGATAAGAGTGTGTGCTTACTGATAACAGGCAGATCCATCTCTAAACCAACATGCTCAATAAGCTTGAATCCGTCCATATACGGCATGTGGACGTCGCTGACAACGATATCGAACCCGTTTCTGTTATCTCTTAGCGTCGATAATGCAGTCTCTGCTCTATTGCATTTGGTAACTGCAAAACAATATCATCACAAATCAAATGAAAATCAGCCTCTTAAGCTCAAAAACAAAATGCATACCCCCATTTTACATATGCACAAATCAAGACAAACCACTCCATTGAAGCCATTCGTCGAACAAAGACTGAGCTGAAACAAAAATCATAGCTCCGAGCATTACAAAATATTGAAATATTGAAAATATTGAAATTATTACAAATAAAATTCAACAAATTGGAAGAACAAGGAAAACCCAATTCACAACTCGAAACCAAAAATGCAAAATCATGACATGAAAAAACAATAGTAATTGAAAGGGAAGATTTGAAGGCTAAGAAGAACAGGAGAAATACCTTGGTAAAGAAAAGTTCTTAGCATCCTTTCCAATATCATAAGACAAGTCGGGTCATCATCAACAACAACAATACGCAAACCAACAGGAAACTGATCAGCTGCTGCTGCTAAGAAGAACAGGAGAAATACCTTGGTAAAGAAAAGTTCTTAGCATCCTTTCCAATATCATAAGACAAGTCGGGTCATCATCAACAACAACAATACGCAAACCAACAGGGAACTGATCAGCTGCTGCTGCTAAGAAGAACAGGAGAAATACCTTGGTAAAGAAAAGTTCTTAGCATCCTTTCCAATATCATAAGACAAGTCGGGTCATCATCAACAACAACAATACGCAAACCAACAGGGAACTGATCAGCTGCTGCTGCTAAGAAGAACAGGAGAAATACCTTGTTAAAGAAAAGTTCTTAGCATCCTTTCCAATATCATAAGACAAGTCGGGTCATCATCAACAACAACAATACGCAAACCAACAGGGAACTGATCAGCTGCTGCTGCATCTGCAGCTTTCCGGCCAGAACTAGAACTGGCTGTTGAATTCATCTCTCAGAAAAACTGACCCAAAACCAGGGGGAAAGGATAAAAAAAGAGAGACAATTTATCATAAAGATGATGATTTCACATGCTTAAACATGAACTTAACAGCTTGAACATGAAGAGATTTGCATGGCTCGTCTCTTAAGTTTTAATTTCTCTCACCGTTCGAGTTTCTGTTAGATTTTAATCTCTTTTTATATATCTTCATATAAATGACCTTAAATTACTAATTTTATATACTCGAATTCAAATAACATTTCAGATTGTGTTAACCGTAAATATTATAAAGAATATTTTGTAATAAAAAATGTTAAGAAAAAAATTAACTTTTTAATTTACGTCCAATCAAAAATATTATATTTTTCTATAATATTTTCAATCACACCTTTTCTCAAGTTTATATTAGATTGTCCTTAGAATCTTTCCGATTTTGGCTCTTCCATTCATTGTTCATGATCGCATTTGCCATGCGCTTTTGGCTTTTGCATTCATTGTTCATGATCGCACCTTTTCGCTTTAGGCATTTGCCAATGCTTTTGTTGTTAGTGTCACGGGTCGCGTAATAAGGTCAGAGATATTTGGCGCATAAGTATGCTAAAGAGGTTAGATTTGGGGAATCAGACTTCTCAAAACCACCAAACTTGATTCATCACTTGAAGAATATTAGAGAATTCATTCATATTGACCGTGTAAACATGAAAAGTGAAGATGATCATGGGAGCTCGATAATTATGACAAGAGACAACAAATCAATAGAGATCGTGGAAGATTCTTACTATATTCGGTATGAACGTTTATCGAAGGAAATATTCCTACTAATTAATGTAATTAAGTAGGATGGGATTGAGTTTCCTTAGTTAAGAGAAGATCTTGTAGATACAATTCCTTGATTAGGGGGATTTAGGAGATTGTATTTAATATGGGTCGTTGATATAAATTAATCCTAGCCATTGATTGTGAGGGTTTCAACTATAAATAGAGAGTTTCTCTTCCTCATTTGTATCATTCAAAATCATTCTTCCACTTTCACTTTGAGAAAATAGTAAATACAAGCTCTGAGGCATTTGTTCTAAGTTCTAGTGTCTACTTTTAGTTGTTCTGAGTTGTTCTTTATTCTCTTTGTGTTCATTGCCTCTCTAGGTGGCTAAGTGTAGTCCCGTGGTGTTTACGCTTCCGCACGAGTGTTCTATTTTTGTGGCCTTAGCGGCCTTATTGGGTTAAAGCTTCTGCATCCTTTTAAAGTCTTGAAGACTTCATGCCAACCTTTTGTCGAGATAGTGTGCTCTTAAGGCGGAGTGTAAGGCTTACTTATGTGCAAAATTGGTGTCATTGAGCGTCTAAGACCACATGTTTCGGAGGTCTAAGGGCGTGACAACAACATGTTTTTGAGTTATTAGTATCGCATGGTTTTTTTCACGTATATTTAGGGAGATCTTTTAAAAGATTTTAATAACTTTGAGGAAAAAATAAATATATTAATTAAGTATGAATATATAATTTTATGTTAAAATGTATGAATTTTTAAAATTCATATTTAAAATTTAAGAGATATAAAATTAAATCATATATAAAAAAGGTAAAGAACGCAAATAGTTTTCTGACTATAGGGTATTGTTTTATTAAGTCTATCGATTATTAAAAGTTATAAAATATGATTCAACATAGAGTGTTGTTTTGTTGAGTCACTCGATTATTAAAAGTTACAAAACGGTCACCCGACTATTCATTATGTTTCAAACTCGTTATTTTCTATTAAAATATAGATGATATTCTGAGCTGACATTAACTTATTGACTGTGATATGATAAAATTTTTCTAAAAAATCTCAAACGACTATCATATCTCAGTCATCATATAACATCTAGCTTAAACAATCGTCAATTTTGAACGAAAAATGACGAGCCTGGAACATAATAAATAATCGGGTGACCATTTTGTAGCTTTTAATAGTCGATGGACTCAACAAAACAACACTCCATAGTCGAAAAAATATTTTATAACTTTTAATAGTCGATGACTTAATAAAATAGTACCTTTTAATCCAGACCATTTGCATTCTTTACCCTAAAAAATATAACTAATTTTTTTTATAGTTTGTGCATCCAAATGGGAAAAATTAATAATTTAGACACTTATTTTGAATAGTAAGTCTTAATGAAACGTGTTTCAACGAACACCCAGTCAAATTCCTCCGTGATGCAATTTAGTCCTCGCCCGTTAACGGAATCATAACCATACCCAACTATAATTTTTTGGTCAAGTGGTTCATTGGTTATGGAAGTAGGGCCATTTCCATAAATTAGAAAAAACTTAGGGGGCAATTCGGAAAATAAATAAAATCAAAAGCAATTTGTTTCATAAAAGGATAGCAGAAATTCGGTGGAGAGTCTCTCTCTCTCTCTCTCTCTCTGCTATTTCTTTTCCTGATTGTTTCTCCCATCTTTTTAGGGTTTATTTTTATTAACAAAAATAAGAATTTGATAATTTTGTGAAGTTTTTTGTTAGTTCATTTCGACAAATTTGTCGATTTTTTATTTTCAAAAGAAAGAAAAAGTTTCATAAATAGTTTGATCGAAAAAAGAAGTTGCTTTGTTTTCTCGGGAAAATGGAGACAAATTCATGGAGCTTTCGATTCTCCAATTCTTCTTCTTCTTCTTCTTCGTCTTCGTCTTCGTCAAGGCGTCGCCAATCTCGATCCGGTTAGTATTTGTCTGCTTGTTCGTCGAGAAAATCAGAAATGGAAATGGTTTGAATTTGGTGATGAATTTTGATTTTCTTTTCCTTTTGTTTTAGATCTGTTTCTGGGAGGAGGGTATGAGGAAATTGACGGAAACGATGATTTCAAGGCGCAGTTTTTATGTCCGTTTTGTGCTGAGGATTTCGACATTGTTGGACTCTGTTGCCACATCGATGAAGAACATCCTGTTGAAGCCAAAAACGGGGTACCTTTTTCCCTATTTTCTCAAAAATAATCTACTTTTCCCCCTTCTTTTGAAGAAATTTGTGTTGTTATTATAGGTTTCTTGAAGTATATAAATAGAAGAAATGTGTATTGAATAGTTGATAATTACAAAAAATAATCTACTTTACTGCTGCTGGAGTGATATATGTTACATTTTAAGCTGTTTTGCTTTTAATTTGATTGTTTAAGTTCTATGATTCCTCGGGTATTTATGTTTTTTTTCTTGCACAAATTGTTTTGTGTTGTTGGTTTGCTGGGAATTGCATCTGAATTTTGCTTAATAGGTGTTTGGTTTGATGTTACCTTTTCAGGTGTGCCCTGTTTGCGTGAAGAGAATCGGAATCGATATCGTCAGCCACATTACCATGCAACATGGGAATTTTCTTAAGATATCCTTTTTTCTTGTTGATTTTGTCTGGCTGGGTTTAGTTGTTATCTATCAGTTGCTTCTGATGTCAACACTGGTTAAATAATACTATTTCCATATAGATCTTGTCCAAGTATTTATCTGTATGCACGCCACACATAATAGATTTCATTAGGGTTAATTATGAGCATTGGTTTCCTATTTTAGAATCAATCTGTTGTTTATTTGTCAGTAAGCATGCCATGACGTACGGTTTAGGTTATTCCTTGACTGGGCGTTACGTGCGACGCAGGCGGAGATTACACAAGGGTGGATCCAATTTGACGTTCTCTATGTTGAGAAAAGAAATGCGAGAAGGAAATTTGCAGGCTCTTCTTGGCGGATCTTCATTTGTTTCTTCCTCCAACGTTGAAGCCGATCCTTTATTGTCTTCATTTATGTTTAGTCCTCCAACAGGTGAAGAGACCTCAAGCTTGAAACCTCTTTCTGTTGCTGAAGCAAGTGCAGTAAAGGAAAGCGGAAATAAAGAATCTCCGGAAAGGTACAAGTGCTGATATATATCATTGTGATATTAGTCCTTTTGTTTCTTTGTCTGGTCTCCGAAAAATGACAGGCTAGTTGGTAGTCCTCTATGCTCCTTGATATAGTGAACGACTTTGACTAAAGTCATTGTGGCTCGGGAATGTCATTGCTTAGGCTTAGTTTCTTCATTTTCCTTGAAACATTCATGTCCGATACATTCAACTGATGAAAAATTTAACCTTATTGGATACAGAAAGCCTCAACATGCCCAATTATCGGACAAGGATCACGAGGAGAAGGCTAGAAGGTGTGAGTTCATTCAAGGGCTGTTGATGTCTACTATTCTTGATGATAATTTATAAGTTAATTGGGGTGCATTTGTAGTGGTTATTCCAATACAATGTTAGGTCTGAGAGAGTGTAAAGCATAAAGAAGACCTTCACCCTACCTTAGAAACGGTATCCGGTTTGATCATCTGAACTTTATTCTCCTAATGTATTTAGAGCTTTTGTGCATAATGAAAAGATGGAAGAACTTTATCTTATATCTATGCTTCGCTTTTTATTTACTATTGAAGATCAGAGTTGCTTTTGATAGTCTCATGTCATTATTTGCAATAGAGGTTTGTCTTCTGTTGAAATAAAAAAGGATTGTTGTGCTTGAGGCTTTTGTCTGGCACATATCCGACATATGTCTGAATATAATTACAAGGATTTGATCTCATGAAAGCACTTCAGAAATTTGAATGTATTCGTGTTAAAAACGTACTTTTTTTAGGCAAATCATGTTGGGTAGGTAGAATATATTCTTGGAAGGTAGGAGAGTTGTAACAGTTGAGTTCTGGGTTTTCAAGACCATGATGTTGGTAATCGGTAATCGGACATACCGGATGAAACGAAATATAATATCTTGTGTTCTGTATCCCCAATAATCCCATTCAAAAACAAAGCATCTTACATCAAGGTGGACGAAACTACATATTCCTCATGCAATTTTGTGTTTATGTATGAGCTCAGACCGAGATTACCTACTGGGGTTGTCTTCCAAGTTACGGTGTTCGCTTCTTTCATCTACGGTGGTACAGAAAGAAGGTAAAATCTGGATGATTTACATGCAAACGCCTAAGCCAGTTATCGGCCTGTCGCCAAAGGGACTCGACTTTAAGAGATGTGTCAATGCCGACCGAATCCCAAAGGGGAACATGGAACTTATAGAAAGCAACTCCGAAGGTAGGTAAAGGTAGCTTCGAAGACATTTCAGCATCACTGAATTCCCTGATATTAAAGCCTCCAAAAGGCAGGCAACCCGTGCCGGTACCTGCTCGGAAAAAATAACACCAAAATAAAAAAACAAAGACGTTCGACCGCATATTGGTAGAGGAAAAAGGATGCTTACCTGGTGATTCTGTAGAAAGGAAGTGATATGTCAAAAAGCAGGCATCCAGGGTTTTCATACTTGGAATCGTTGGTATCCTATATATAGGGTACCTTCATAAAGAAGAATTTCCCGTCAAATGGTTTCGTGTTAAAAACGAAATGGTGATAAACAAGAAATATACCATGCCACGGAAATCCAGCTCGAAGGTAATAGATCGCAGCTCCCATAACTCATCAAAGCTGGAAATCGGGATGCCAGATCCAAAATCTGTGGGATGCAAGGTTATCAGAGATAGCGCGATGAGCTGCAAATGGCATGCTAATGTAACAAAGGACGGGGACCTACCTTGCAAGCCAAAGGCTTACGAGTAAATGGTAGAGCATGCTCGAGGTACTCGAAAACAAGCTGACCAGATGGGTTTTGAATGTTGGTTTCATTGCTCGATGTGCCCCGATAAGGTTCATCTCCGATCACGATATGACTTTGAGCCCTCTGGACAGCGTTGTTACTACCATTGCCACTCGTCTCCCTAGATGACTCTGTATTGCTCTCCTCGCCAGGCTGCCTGTTCAACGATACAGTGGAAAATGAATAATGCAAACAAGCACGGTTAACAGGTTGATCGAGCCAATCACCCTGCATTTCGATCTCTATTTGTCTTTTAAAGCATCGAGTGATACTTGAGCAACATGATTATATCAACATAGGATGAAGACATGCACTGGCATTGCATAACGATCAAAGAAATCCGAGGGCCATCGGGAATTCTCCACTACGACTCACAATCATGCATGGAATTCAGATAAACTACGGCGTGGAATGGCTTTACCTTTGTCTAGGAGACCTTGAAGGGTCTATATAGAGCTGAATGGCAGACAAGTAAGGGACATAGTATTGAGTAACAGGGCAAGTTCCATTCAACAAAAGAGGAACCCCAGCTCCATATGCAGTCCATTCCTCAAAAGTCTTCCACAAATCCTTAAGAAAAAAATACCGACGACTCTCCGGTTCGATCGTTCCCTTTTGCAGCCAGCTTGTGATCGTCTATAAGATCACCAAAGTTTCATCAAGAAAAAGCTTCACCACTATTGAGAATAACAAAGAAAAGATTCAAAGACTTGCATTCTTCTCGTAAAATGATAATTTCATATATTCTTCTACAATAATCATATCGAATTCTAATTATATTCGGATTCGAGTCACGTCAGATCCCTAAACCTATGTATCAACCTAACTTTCCACGCATTCGTAAGTGAAAAGAGAAAAGAAAGGTGAAATATTGGTTGATTCAAGTTGATTTTGTTTACCATGGGTATACGTTGAGCTTGAACGACCGGGGTTGTAAACTCCAAGAACCGATCCAAATTCGTCGGATTAATGTCACTGTTATCCACAGGCAATGATGAAGATGACGCAGTGTGTTGCTGTTGATCCATTCTGTTCTCCGCCGTTAAACGGCTGGGAACCGACGGCCTTCGTTCAAGCCGCTGTTTCTTCAGTTGTCGGATCAACCTTGGCGGCAGATTATTGAACCGACTCCACCTGCCTCTACGTCTACTGGACATTGTAACGGAGCGGTACCGTTATAAGTAAGAAAGAAAGCCCCATTTTCTTGGAGGAGAGGTTCGAGCGGGAAAATGGGGATGCTGATGCTTTTCTAATGGTTTTCTTTTGGATTTATTAATTTTTTTCTGAAAAAAACGTTAGAAATCCCCGTATTTTTTAAGGAAGAAAATTAATATGGACACCTATTATTTTCTCTCTCAATATAATCCTCCAATTCAGAAAAATTAACTCAACATTTGACCAATATTTTTCATCGTTTGATGTTACAGTACTAATGTGATAGTTCATAGTTCTGACATGATAATCCACGGTACTAATGTGACAGTCAATATGCCATTTTGAGTTACCACTTTAGTCCATCTATAATGTTATCCGTCACGTTATCAACCACTGTGAATTGCTGCGTTAACACCGTAAACCGTCACGTCAGCACCGTAACAGTTAACGACGAAAAAACATTGGTCAAGAAGTCACATTGAGTTTATTTTCTTAGTTGGAGGACCGCATTGATAGAAAAAAAAAACAATACCATGACCATATTATATTTAAAAAAAACACAGGGATCTCTGATGCCTTGTTTTCTTTTTAAATATTTAGATGAATTTTAATCACATTCGACTGAATCAAATATATTAAAAAAATGTATATAATTGTAATGACATACTTTTTTAAATTCATTAAATTCAAATTCTTCATACAACATATATACATGGGTTCAAAATTTTGTTTATATATTCCAAGTACATCTTAAGTTTGAGTTTAATATTTAACGCTTAAACTATATTAAGTTAATGAAAATAGATGCTTAGTATGAAACTGGTATTTTAAAAATTCAATTAATTTTTTCAAAAAAAAAATCAATTAAAATTATATAAAAAATCAAGTATAGTTAGAGAACATCAACTAAAATTAACCCATGTTTTAAAATTGACCTTTAAAGTCGATAATAGTTTAGAATGATATAATCGACAACATATCAGTACTTTGATAACTCAATTAGAATGATTTACAGTTCGACGATCAATTTATAATCTAAGACTTTATTTTAGAGCAAAAAGAAAACTAGGGTAAATTACACGTTTAGTATCTAAACTATCGATTTTAACCCGTTTTAATGCTTAAACTTTTTAAAAATCATACCTAATGTTTAGTTTTTATTTCATTTTAGTAACTCGCACGCGTTTAGTACCTTTAATATGTTTTAGTACTTAAACTTTTAATTACTAAAATGAAACAAAAATTAAACTTTAGGTATGATTTTTAAAAAAATCAAAAGTTTATGTATTAAAACGGACTAAAATCGATAGTTTAGGTACTATACACATAGTTTACCCAAAAAACTAATCCATATAACGCTGCGACTGAGAATTGATGCACGATTCAAACGCACAAAAAAAGAAGTTTAAAACAAAGTATCTAGGACCAGTTTTACCGCAGTAGATCGAAGAAACAAGCATTGTAAAAGCTACAAAGAAAACTAGGAACTGACCAACTATGCATGATGCAACTGCAAAACATTCAAATTTCCCAACTTTCATAAAGATGTTAGATAAATATGTATGTTCCGAAATAGAGCAAACACGGATTCATCACCATCGAACGATACCGAGAACCTATGAAGATGGTGGTGGTGGTGGCCGTGGTGATCGGTTGCTCCTCGCTGTATTCGCAAGAGAATGTTATCTTCTAATAGGCCTGTGTCCTCGAACTCGGGTGTTAGATGGCTGAACCGGACCTGTATATTGCGGCCTATGGACGACTTTACCATCAACAAGCAAATCCCCTGCAAAATCGATCCACAAAAAGGTAAAAGGATCGAAATTTGTAGACCATAAAGGGAATTTAATAGCAATAAGCAGCGAAACCGTTGTTCAAACCTCCATAATCTTTGTTCGGAACATCGAGATATGAATCCGGTAAGACCCAGAGCACACGAGGTAATCCTATAGACAAGCAGGGAATCAATGTGAAACAAAATCCCAATTATACGAACAAGATTGATTATTGTAGCAATTTTGTATGGAGCTTCAAAACCCTAATGCAGCTAAAGGAAAAATCATACAACAATGAGAATCAGTGTTAATTCTTACTTTCAACAGAAACCAATTAATTCTTCCATAGGCACTTCAAAACAAAAGGGGGGGGATCATTTAAACCCTAAAACCCTAATAAACGGAATTACCTTTAACTTTATAAGACAACTCCTCAGATATCAAAGCACCAAACCCAGTATACCTCGTCGTACAAACAGAGTATATCCTCTTCTTCGCTTCCTCTTCACTGCAACATCAACAACAATTCCCAAATTTAGAAGAAGAAAAAACCACCAAACTCAATGAAATTTGAGGGGGTTTTTAACCTGCCGACGACAGAAGCAAGGGTTTTGACATAGGCATCGATCATTTCTTCTTCAGAAGGCTTTGGGTCTTCCGTGAATTCCAAAACAATAAGCCAATGCTCATAATCACAGCCGTCGAGAAGGATCGTTTCCTTCGGCGGCCGGTTGCTCCAGTTCGGGGATGGGTCGTTCAATGGCGAGTACCCGGATCCGGATGTCCTGGACCGGGTCAGGATTTTGACTGATTCGGGGGCAGAAACTGGGGAGTTTCTGATGAGAGAAAAGGCGAGACGAGAACGTGAAGAGATAGACGAAGAACGAAGAGGCCAAGAAGAAGAAGAGAGGGCGCGGGTTAATAGAGTTGATAGAGATCGTCGGGCATTGAAGGAAGCCATTGTTGACGACGATGATTCTCCGATATGCTTTGTTTCTTCGATACTATTACTAACTAGGGTGACCCCCTTTTGCGAAATATTTAGAGGATTTAACAATAGGTGAAATTATGGATTTGGTCACTCATACTATGCTCAAATTGGTATTTCGACCCTATATTTTTAACTTTACATGATTTAGTTATCGTAACATTCACCCTACTTTCCTAAACTCAAGATCCCCCAGCACAAGCCTACCAAACAAAACATAAAAAAACAAACCAAACACCGCACATCAAGAGAAGAAACAAAAAAATCACAACATTGATTGAACCTTCAACTTCCCCCGAAAACCGATTAAACAAAACTCCTGACAAAGGCTTTGTTAAAATATCAACTTGCTCATAGATAGGCACCTCATTAACCACCACTTGTCCCAAGGTAACCTTCTCTCGAACAAAGAATAAATCCATTTCAACATGTTTAAACTTAGAATGCATAACCGAATTTGTAGAAACGACAACAACACTAGCGTTATCACACCACAGGACAAGCCTATCTCTTAACATGCAACTCTGTAAGGACTGTAACCACAATACCTCAGTTGTAGCACACACAACACTTCTATATTCTACCTCAGTTGTTGAATGAGAAACCACTTGTTGCTTTTGTGATGCTTACGAGACAGGTTGTCCCCCCCCCCCAAAAATAATAATACAAAACCCAATCGTTGAGTGATGATTATCCACATCATAACCCCAATTAGCTTCAACAAATCCTGTAATGGACAAACAAGGAGAATAAGTAAACCTAAGTACATAGTCCAAAGTGCTCTAGAAATACCTCAAGATGAGCTTCACAGCATAAAAATGCTCATCCAAGGGGGATTGCATAAACATTAACAACAAAGGAATATCAGGTCTCCTAATAAGAACATATCGCAAAGCACCCACTATGTTTCTATAATCAGTGGTATTATTAATAGGAGTGCTATGATGAACAGACAACAACTTGTTACAACTTTTAGCCTTCGAAAATAACATAGAGGTGTACATGCATAAAGTTTTGCACTCAAAATTCCAAGAATATAACAATATTAAATACTTGTTAAAAAATTATTGTTCTTGTGATGTTATATTGTTAGAGAAAATTTAATTTCTGTCATAGGACGTATTGAGAGGTACTGGAGCGGATATTGTACTCTTGAAAATTTTAAATTATCATATAATGATTGATTAATTAATTTAAATTAATTTTTCTTTATTCATAATGTTAATTGAATCTCTGACCTTGTTTAAAGGGTATAACGTCTTATTGTACTCGATCAATTGGTAATTGATATTTTTATAATAGTGTATTCAAGTTTGATATGCCTAAGTTTTTTGAAACAAAGGTGCAAGAGTCTTTATTGAATGAATAAACAAAGAGGGTCCCATAAAACATAAAAGCATGCAGAACGGTCTTAAAACATAAATAAAGAAAAGAAAAAGTAGAGTAAGCAGCTGACTATTCATCTCCCTCAAGAAGAAAGCTTTCGTTGAAGATCGAGCATGGAAAGAGAGAGGAAAAAAAAACAGAGATGGATCTTAAGCACAGATCAAACAGTCACCGTGGAATGGTACTACGGCGGTTCAAGCCACCTCCTACCTTCGGAGGCCTGATGTTCAGCATACCATGGTCCCTCATCAATCCAGTAGGCATCTTCCTGGCCACAATTCTCATCAGACGCCAGAAGATGAGCAGCGATGTTGGCTGAGCGTTGAACGAATCGAAAGCAGCATGCATGAAAGGATCTCGCCCTCCGTCGCACCTCCCAGGTTAGAGCGCTGATCTCCGACAGATCTTGGTCAGAGGTTGATAATTTCTCAATTACCGTACGGGCATCCCCTTCCAGAACCACCTCCCTCAAACGGATGGCGACACCCTTAACCCGTGCACGTACCTGAATACGAATTAAATATATCACATAATTTTTACATACATTTTATAATTGAAAACTCAGTACAAATTTAAGTTTTTAAAATTTATCCAATTTAATTCTTTAAATAAAATAATATAATCACGTAAAATAATAATATAATATTTAAATATTTAACTCATTATCGGTTTTAGATATCAACTTTATACTATTTCATATCTTAAAGTAAACAAGCTGAAAACTGTATAATTTAAAAATATTTCTTTATTCTAATAAAATATATTTTTATCTAAAACATAGATCTTAGATTCATATTTATATTCATAATAATATATCTCATACATTTCTTATCCGTATACATATCATCTAAAAAAATTAAAATAGTAGGATGTCATTACTGATACATGTAATTAGTCTTTGTTAATTGATATCAAACTCAACTCCTTACTTCACTGGCTCTTCTTTACCTACGTGTAAAAATCATTACACGCTAAGTATACACCTAGTGAGACATTATAACAAACTAAGGTGATATAAAATATTAAACAACTTAACAACATCAAAACAATATATTTTCTTAGCAACTTAAGATGATCATAACAATTTAAAACATTAACTTAAATTCAATAGAATCATTAAATATTCAAGTCGATTTATTCAAGTCATTTTTTCTCATCAAGGACTTGAAAATCATCATCTCATGATCTTATCAAAACCATGATAAATAATATCATACGTAATAATCATATCATATTTCTTTTTTCATTCACATATATTTCAGAACTTTCATATTTCATTTTCATCTTTTAATTTCATATTCATTTCCACATTTCATTTTCATAACCAGTACTTTCATATTTCAGAATTCATTCCCAGATTCAAAACCTATTTCCAGATTCAAAAATTACTTTAAGATTTATAGCTTAATTTTAGGTTCATAGCCCAATGCATATTTATGAGAATCAAGGTACGTGAGTCATACATAATGTGCACACTAGACATTACACGGTGCCAATCATCATCATAGGATGCACTCCAAGTGCAAATTATATCATATGCACCAACGGTGCCATACGTAATGTACACAAATGTACCATAACTTAACTTGAACTTTACTCAATTTTCTGGCATGCCAAGTGTACCTACGTCTTTCAATGCAACATACAATGGGCTTTTCCATATTGAATTATCGAAGATATCAATATATCAACATATCCAACTTTTCATATCATAACACAATAGGCAGTTAATTCCCTAAACATTTAATTTCCACATAATATTTATATATCATGATCATCGTCAATTACCTTTCTTTAACATATACACATCATATTCATCATGTAATAAATATCATAACTATGATGCCAATTATAATAAAGTTGACTCATTTCAAACTTTTATAATAGCATATAACATAGGAGTAACATGAAAACATAATTTATGACAAATTTCATATAATAGCAGTTTGCACTACCTTCAAAGAAATATTATTATGTATTAACATACACACTTAAAAATTATTCTGTTTATACCAGTAGCAACTAGACTCGAATAAAAATCTAACCATATAAGACACTTTTTCTTGTTCAACTTGTACAATTTATAGTAAATTTCCAAATATGACTTATAGAAGTTTATTTTGAGCAGAAATTGTTGTCTTGTTTTCTAACTTATCCTTGATAAAAAAATTTATATCTTTTTATATACTCCTTGAAATTAGTAGCCGTTTATTTTAAACAAAACTAGACTGATATACGAATTCAACTAAATAAAATTCATCCTCTAACCATTTCAGTAGAATCTATGTTGATTTTCTAAACTTACTATTTCAAGTCATAAGTATAGGCATATTTCAATAGTTTGCATCCTTAGCTTATTCACTAATTATATTAGCTTACTAAATGAACATATAGGATTGAATCACAATTCACATAATATTGGGAGTCACTTATTACCATAATAACTCCGTCACTGACTCATCACAAGCCAATGCTTGCTCGATAAGATAAATACAAATTAAATGCACTCACATGGTGTGTTTAGCTTGCAAACCTTCCTTAGAAATTCGCATTCATCCTTATGTTACTCCTTAGATTTAATATTTCTTGGTCTTGATTTCAATCATAATCTAAATGGATACCATTTACAAAATATATATATTTCAAACCACATGTTAGAATCTTACTAACACAGACACACAATAGAAAAATAAATTCCTAAAAATCTTCCAGAACTCATCCGATACTAATTTCTTGTCACAACATAAATGTTGATCTCAAAGCTTCAAATTGACCATTCAAGTCTCTTTTTATCCATATTCATCACTAAGGCACATAGTATTTTCAAACTTCACATTTTAACCACTAATTACAAATTCTTTTCGAATTCATCTCAATTTTTCCATTTTACTCAAACCTTCAAATTGACCATTCAAGTCCCTTGCCATTTTTGCCTCAACTCAAACTTCAATCAACTTAATTAAAATATCCAACATTTAATTCCAGCATAATACCTCAACATTTACACCATTTTTACTTAAGTCACTAACTTTCTCATATTCCCAGTATCATTTTCCTTCAAATCAACCGAAGCCCTTGGAATGCTTTGTTGTCTTTTAACGCTCTTCTGGTGTGCCAAAGGATTCTCTTCCTCTGACCCCGTCATCAACACATCATCATCCGCCTATTTGCTATGATCTAAACCATGAGAGTAGAAAACACTAGTAACCCAATTCTTTGTCTGTAATCCCCCTGCTTGACTAGTTGGGTGCGAAACCATATTCCTCTCAGTACTCGGAACATTTGCAATCATATTCCCGGTATCATCCCTTAACCACGGGTTAGAAACTACCCCCCGCCTTGTTTGGGTAGCGTGCAGCGACACGTCCCACTGTGGTACTAAATCCTTCTTATCTTTCAAGACCCATAGAGGACGTAAATGTTCCCTATAACCCAACTTACCACAGAGAAAGTAGAACAATATGAGTTTCTCATACTGAAAATTGACATACGTAGATCCCCCATTTGACAACGCGATCTTTTTTTGTCCTTTTCAGAGGCTGTGCACATCCACTGCCTCCCGAATCCGAAGGCAATGCCTATAGCCAAGTGTAACCGCACTGGTATCATACTCTAAGGAAGTGCCAATGAAATCCTCAAATTGCTTAGCCACCTGTTCCGAAATATAACCAATAGACACATCGTTCACCAAGATCCAAAAATCTGCCCTATTCAAGTCCACCCTAAGCGGATCATCACCCGGTTGTAACTGGTGTAAAAGTAACGGATAGGAACTAAAGTACCATGGTACTTCATGCGTGATCTGATCTGCATCAACCTCATTAAAAAGCTTGAATAGAAAACATCCTTTTCCCAATTCTGTGATTGAGATTCCACCAATCGGGTGCCAAGCATTCGCCAGGGTAGCTCGCATCGCTTGGAAATTAATCATTGTTGCAGTAAGAAAGCGGCCAACTAAACAATTTTCAAAAGATGCTTGAGAGCAGTCTTCGGCTTGCGGCGGTAACAAAATCTCATCCTCTTCCTCTCCCAAATTCAGATCCTCCAACTCCCGAGTGATCTCCTCCATGGCACAGGGAAAAAACAAAAGACAAAGGACAATAGCAGAGACTAGACAAACTGACTCAAATCAAAAAGCTGACCACAAGGCAGAAAGACGGCTGACCATCACATGGTCAAAACCCTAACACAGAGGGTCATGTGCTTCATATGCCTAATTTAAATTATTAATTAATGAAATATTTAATTTTTAGTTATATTATAGATTTTTAAAATATTAATAAAAAATATTTAATTATTTTATTTAATTAGTTGATTTTAACTTTGAGTAATATAAGTGGATTAATTTAACCCATAACAAGATCATATATAGGTTATTAAAATTAAATAAATTTTAAAAAAATATTTATGAAAGAAAAATGGTGATATACTTAAGAATAAATAATCTAAAATTATATAAATGAATGAATTTCAACTAAACGTGGAGCTTTAGGTCTTCAAGTTCAACAAACCTTCGGAGCCAGATGGACTTCTCTCATCCATAGAAAAAGAAGGGTTAACTAAAAATGGTGATTTGGGGATTGTCTCCTTCAAGTATAAATAGGGCATTGGAAATGTACATATTATTCAAGCGAAGAGCTCAAGGGGCTTTAAACAATAAGGATTATCAGCACTCAACAGCTGATATAAACCTTCTTTCTTTCTTTCTTCAGATTCAAGAGACAAGAAGAGAGAAGAAAAGAAGTTTTATTCTTGCCGTTTTTAAGATTTCATGCTTTAAAAACGAAGAGAAGCTGTTCAAAAATGGCGAATAACTTTGCAATTATCATTACATGTTCAATGTTTCTAGTGGCGGTGGTGGTTGCCGTGGTGGTGGGAATGAACCACACCTCGAGCAAGAGCGATGGCGATGGCGGGGGTGTGACGAGTTCTAAGAAGGAGGTGCACGCACTTTGCCAACCCGTGGATTATAAAGAGATATGCGAGCAGAGCATGTCCCAGTCGAACTCCACCGACACCAAGGAGCTGATAAGGGCCGGTTTTCAGGCGGCGATGAAGGAGATGCAGGCGGTGTTGTCTAAATCGGCGACGATCCATGAGTTGCAGACGGATGAAGGGACAAAGGATGCATTTAAGGTTTGCCAGGAGGTGATGGGTTACGCCATCGACGACCTCGAGAACTCGTTCAAGACGCTCGGTGAATACGACGTGACCAAGATCGACGATTACCTCATGAACCTCAAGGTGTGGTTGAGCGGCGCCGTCACAAGTCAACAAACATGCATAGACTCGTACGAAGAGAAGAACGGCACGGCGGCGGACAAGATGAGGAGTCTCATGAAGAAGTCACAGGAGCTAACCAGCAACTCTCTCCATATAGTGTCTGGCATATCGTCCATCCTCAAGGACCTCAACATCCCGGGCATCGACAATCTCGACACCACTGGACTCGAACGGAAGCTCTTGTCGAGCGGAGATGACAACGATTTCCCACAGTGGGGTGGGATGGAGCCCCATGATCAAAAGCTCTTCTCGTTGTCGTCTTTTAGTAGGGATTTGATCACACCACCCGGTGATGATGTCCAACCTGTGAAGAAATTAAGAAAACGAAAGCTCTTTTCGAGCAATGATGACGATGATTTCGCATTGTGGGGGATGAAATCTCGCGATCGGAAGCTCTTCTCGAGCAGCGACGACGATGATTTTGCACTATGGGGGATGAAATCCCGCGATCGGAAGCTCTTCTCGAGCAGCGACGACGACGATTTCGCACAGTGGGGGATGAAATCCCGTAAAAGAAAGCTCTTGTTGAGCAGCGACAACGATGATTTCCCAACGTGGATGAACTCCGGCGATCGAAGGCTCCTCCAAGCGGCGGACATTAAGCCCAACGTCGTCGTTGCTAAAGATAGTAGTGGCAAGTACGATAGCATCAACAAGGCCTTGGCAGAAGTTCCAAATAATAATCCCACAAGATTTGTTATTTACGTGAAGAAGGGAATTTACAAGGAGAACGTCAACGTTACCAAGGGCATGGACAATGTTATTCTTATCGGAGATGGTCCGACCAAAACCCTCATCACCGGCGACTTGAGTAGTGAAGTTCATAAGCTTACCACGTTTCACACTGCTACTGTCGGTAAGCAGTACATATAATCAGATATTAAGTCATAATGATCTTTAACATTATTATAATACGATCGTTACGTATCCATAATTTAATTCTGATGTGTGTTCTTGTATTTGGTAGCTGTAAATGCAAAGCATTTTATAGCCAAGAATATCGGATTCGAGAACACCGCCGGAATAGCAGGTCAACAAGCAGTCGCCCTGAGATCATCCGGCGACATGGCCGTCTACTACAACTGCCACTTCAACGGCTATCAAGATACCCTTTTCGCCCACAAAGAGAGGCAGTACTATCGCGACTGCACCATCAGCGGCACAGTCGACATCATCTTCGGCGACGGGAGAAGCTTGTTCCAGAACTGCCACATCATCGTCAAAAAGCCGGCTCCCAACCAGAGTTGCATCATCACCGGACATGCGAGAAATGACGAGAAAACACTTAGCGCCATTGTGCTCCAAAACTGCACAATCTCCGGCGACAAGGACTATCTCCCAGTTAAGGACAAGAACAAGGCGTACCTCGCCCGACCCTTAAAACCATACGCCATCACCATCATAGTGCAATCCCAAATCGATGACATCATCACCCCAGAGGGGTACACTCCGATGAACGGCACTGTGGGACTCGATACCTCATTTTACGCCGAGATCGACAACAGGGGTGCCGGTGCTAAAACTGAGGATAGGGTCAAATGGGGTGGTATAAAGCATCTCGATTTGAAAGACGCTAAGGAATACACCCCTCGCATCTTCCTTGAATCTGAAACTTGGATTCCATTAACTGGGATTCCCTGCAATCCCGACTTGGTCCAAGGGTTGTAAACTAGAAAAAAATCAAAGGCCATTGTTATTATTATTGTGCTGATATGTTATAATTAATTAAATAATTAAACTTAAGAAAACCCTAAGGGCATCTCTCTTTTTATTTTATATCTTGCAAAACTATCTAATTTTTTATTAATATAAATTAAAGTTTTAGGCTTAAAATAAATATCGTTTTCGTTTTCATTTTTTCGGAAAATATAATGAAGATGAAAATTTTCAAAATTATCTTCTTCTTTTTTTTGAAAAAAATACATAAACATTAGAAAGTACAAAATATTTTTATTTTTTTTAAAAAAAATTCTATATAATTGAAAAAAAATAAAAACAATAAATTTTAATTAATTAATTGATCGGAGTTGGAATTCTTGTAATTTTATTATTGAAATCAAAATTTTGTTTTTATTTACCAAATAATCATATTTTTTCTTTGATAGTAAGATTACAATATCACTAAAAATAATAGTTTATAAAATGTTTAGTTCTTGTTCGTTTAAAATTATCAATATCACATTCATATTTGTTTATTTATTTTAAGGTGTTCTTGGTGTATGTTTAGTGTTTGCTTATATGTTCATTTAACGCTCATGAACATATTCGTTTTATGTTCAAGTACATGTTTATTTAACGTTCACCAATGCATTTATTTAGCGGTCATTTAATGTTCGGCAACCAACACTCTTTCACCCTTCTGTTTGTAAGTCAGAAAAATGATAAAATTATATCAGTAGTCCTTAACTTCTTTAGGCTTTATAATTTGAACTCGAAAGTTTTAAAAATCATACTTAAAGTTTAGTTTTTGTTTCATTTTAATACTCTGACGTTTAACACTTTAGTTTTGTTTCATTTTAGTACCTCCGTTCAAAATCTAACGTTAAGTTTTGAAAAAAAATGAAAGTTTAGGTACTAAAATGGACCAAAACTGATAGTTTAAGTACTAAGCGAGTTAAGTTTTTAACGGCAGGGTACTAAAATAAAATGAAAACTAAACGATATATATGATTTTAAAAAATGAAAGTTTAGGTTCTAAAATGGTCCAATAATTTTATTACTTACTTTCTATTTCTTAATTTTTAGTTTTTTACACCTTAGATAATACGATTTATCAAAATCAATTATAATTATTCTACGCAAGCCAGCCAAGAGACATTCGAGCGATAAAATCTGAGTCCAGATGTTGCTCTTGCAAGATTTCTTTCAGGATTCATATCGCCACCAAGCTATGAAAGATCAGTCCACTGCTTCTGGCTGCTTGTTGTCTTATTGTTTGGGGTCCCGGGCAGGGGCTGTTCAATGTGATGGGCGATTCAAAAAGATGGAAAAGCGTCGGCCATTAGTGTGGTCCGGTTGAGAATCGTTGCTCAGGTGTGGAGTTGCTGTTCTCGTGCTGGCGTGTTTGCCATGAGGAGGATTAATAGTTTTTTATAGTGTTTCCTGTCGAGCTTTGTTGCTGGGTGATTGTGTTTCGAATTGTGTTGTAGTTCTCTTGCCTTATAGGGTGCACTCTTTTCCTTTATTTAGACTTAGGGTTAGGAAGGTTTTCAATGAGGCATCTATCTTGATCTTTTAATTAAATAAAGCCATATAATTATCAATTAAAACTGGGAATATTTCAATGACCGGAAGAAAAATATCGATATGGCTATATTTAAATGTTTAAAACATTAATGACGTTCCGTAAAGAGCTCTTATCCATAGAAAAAGAAGGGTTAACTGTAAATGGTGATTTGGGGATGGTCTGCTTCAAGTATAAATAGGGCATTGGAAATGCACAGATTATTCAAGCGAAGAGCTCAAAGGAGCTTTAAACAATAAGGATTATCAGCACTCAACAGCTGATATAAACCTTCTTTCTTTCTTTCTTAAGATTCAAGGGAAAAGAAGAGAGAAAAAAAGAAGTTTTATTCTGATCGTTTTTAAGTTTTTGTGCATTAAAAACGAAAAGAAGCTGTTTAAACATGGCGAATAACCTTGCAATGATCAGTATAAGTTCGGTATTTCTTGTGACAATGGTGGTCGTTGTGGTGGTGCGAATGGATCACGACACGAACAAGAGCGATGGCGACGACGATGGAGGGGGTGTGACGAGTTCTAAGAAGGAACTACACGCACTTTGCCAACCCGTGAATTATAAAGAGACATGCGAGCAGAGCCTGTCCCAGACGAACTCCACCGACACCAAGGAACTGATAAGGGTCAGTTTTCAGGCGGCGGTGACGGAGATAAAGGCGGTGTTGTCGAAATCGGCGACGATCCATGAGTTGCAGACGGATGAAGGGACAAAGGATGCCTTTAAGGTTTGCCAGGAGGTGATGGGTTACGCCATCGACGACCTCGAGAACTCGTTCAAGGCGCTCGGTGAATACGACGTGACCAAGATCGACGATTACCTCATGAACCTCAAGGTGTGGCTGAGCGGCGCCGTCACAAGTCAACAAACATGCATAGACTCGTACGAAGAGAAGAACGGCACGGCGGCGGACAAGATGAGGAGTCTCATGAAGAAGTCACAGGAGCTAACCAGCAACTCTCTCCACATAGTGTCTGGGATATCGTCCATCCTCAAGGACCTCAACATCCCGGGCATCGACAATCTCGACACAACTGGACTCGAACGGAAGCTCTTGTCTAGTGGCGGCGGCGACGATTTCTCACAGTGGGGTAGGATGGAATACCACGGTCGAAAACTTTCGTGGCTGGAAGGTCTCTTCAAAACACCAGATCATGACGGTGCAATCACAGGGTGGATGATCAAATCACCCCAAAGAAAGCTCTTATCGCGCAGCGACGACGACGATTTTTCACAGTGGGGTGGGATGGAATACCACGGTCGAAAACTTTCGTGGCTGGAAGGTATCTTCAAAACACCTGATCATGACGGTGCAATCACAGGGTGGATGATCAAATCACCCCAAAGAAAGCTCTTATCGCGCAGCGACGACGACGATTTTTCACAGTGGGGTGGGATGAAATCCCGTGATCGAAAACTTTTGTGGATGGGAGATCTCTTCAAAACACCTGCTGACAACGAAATCACACATTGGGCGAAATCCCGCAAAAGAAAGCTCTTGTCGAGCAGCGACGACAATGATTTTCCACATTGGATGAGCTCTGGTGATCGAAGACTCCTCGAGGCGGTGGAAGTTAGGCCCAACGTCGTCGTTGCTAACGATGGAAGTGGCAAATACGATAGCATCAACAAGGCTTTGGCCGAAGTCCCAAAGAATAATCCCACACGATTTGTTATTTACGTAAAGGCCGGCATTTACAAGGAGAACGTCAACATTACCAAGGGCATGGACAATGTTATTCTAGTGGGAGATGGTCCGACCAAGACCCTCATCACCGGAGACTTGAGCAGTGAAGCTCATAAGCTTACCACATTCCACACCGCTACTGTCGGTAAGTAGTATATACTATATAGAGATATTAAGTCGTAATAATCTTTAAAATTATTATAATATGATCGTTATGTATTCATAATTTAATTCTGATATGTATGTTCTTGTATTTGGTAGCTGTAAATGCAAAGCATTTCATAGCCAAGAACATCGGATTCGAGAACACAGCCGGAATAGCAGGTCAACAAGCAGTCGCCCTGAGATCATCCGGCGACATGGCCGTATACTATAATTGCCACTTCAACGGCTATCAAGACACTCTTTTCGCCCACAAGGAGAGGCAGTACTACCGCGACTGCACCATCAGCGGCACAGTGGACATCATCTTCGGCGACGGGAGAAGCTTATTCCAGAACTGCCAGATCATCGTGAGAAAGCCGGCTCCCAACCAGAGTTGCATCGTCACGGGACATGCAAGAAATGACGATAAAACCCTTAGCGCCATCGTGCTCCAAAACTGCACAATCTCCGGCGACAAGGACTATCTCCCAGTTAAGGACAAGAACAAGGCGTACCTCGCCCGACCCTTGAAGCCATATGCCATCACCATCATAATGCAGTCCCAAATCAACGACATCATCACCCCCGAAGGGTACACACCGATGAACGGAACCGTGGGACTCGATACCTCATTTTACGCCGAGATCGATAATAGGGGAGCAGGCTCTAAAACTAGTGGCAGGGTCAAATGGGGTGGGATCAAGCACCTTGATTTGAATGCCGCAAAGATATACACCCCTCGCATCTTCCTTGAATCCGAAACCTGGATTCCAAAAACTGGAATTCCCTGCAATCCCGACTTGTTCAAAGCGGTGTAATTTGTAAACTACTAAAATACCTAAGGCCATTGTTATTATTGTTGTGCTGATATGTTACTATTATTCAATGATTAAACTGAACAAAAAAACCCTAAAGGCATCGCTATTTTTATTTTATATCATTGCAAAACTATCTAATCATCTATTAATATAACTTAAAAACATATTAACACATTTTTATTACTGAAACTAAATTTTTATTTCTATTTACCAATTAACCCATGTTCTTTCAATGATTAAACAAAAACAAGTACTATCATGAAATATGTTAATATGTAATATGTGATATGTTAACAACTATCATGAAATGCAATGCAACAACAATGGTGATGACATGTTTTATTTAGGGACAAAACTAACTCCAAATATGAGTAATTTGTATGCCTTTTCAAGTACTATCATTAGTAAATCATAACATAATAAATCCAAAGAAAAATATTTTCATGAGTCGACTTAAAGGAAAGCATGCTATGAATAACTTAAATTAAAAATTTAACACAAACTAATTAATTAAATTATTAATGCAATGCAATGTAGATAACAAACAAAAATGGTATGTGATATGCATAAATAAAAATAAAAGGATATCTTAATGGAGATTATGTGATTGGGGTCTCATTTGGTTGATGGCTTTAGGTAATTTAAGTTGGATTCGTTCTCAATCTTGAGTAACTAAAGATATAAATGGAATAGCATAAATCAAACGATGTTAATAGTAAAATTTAAAAGAATCGTTGTTATTTATTAAGATCTCGGGTTTAAACACTATTAATGTCAGGGTGTAAAAAAATTCTACCTCGTACATTTTGCATGTACTTCGTGGCCTCAACAATTTTCAAATCACCCTGGGACTTGGACAAGCCGAATATGGTGGCTTTCAAAAATAAAATACTTGTGTATAAATAATAAGGAAAATAAATTGATATGAATGTATTTAATTGGTTGAAATAATTGCTCACCAGGTATAAAGAGTTCTTGGAATATTTTTTTCTTTCTTATTTTAGACCTAATTTTTTTATCATATTAACATATAATTAGATAGTTTTGCAAGATATAAAAATAAGAAGAGAGATGCCCTTAGATTTTTTTTCTTGTTTAATTATTGAATAATTATAATATATCAGCACAACAATAATGATAACAATGGCTTTAGGTTTTTTTTAAGTTTACACCCCTTGGATTAAGTCAGGATTGCAGGGAATCCCAGTTAAGGGAATCCAAGTTTCGGATTCAAGGAAGATGCGAGGGGTGTATTTCTTAGCGTCTTTCAAATCGAGATGCTTGATCCCACCCCATTTGCCCTCAGTTTTAGCGCCGGCTCCCCTGTTGTCGATCTCGGCGTAAAATGAGGTATCGAGTCCCACAGTGCCGTTCATCAGTGTGTACCCTTCGGGGGTGATGATGTCGTCGATTTGGGATTGCATTATGATGGTGATGGCGTATGGTTTCAAGGGTCGGGCGAGGTACGCCTTGTTCTTGTCCTTAACTGGGAGATAGTCCTTGTCGCCCGAGATTGTACAGTTTTGGAGCACGATGGCGCTGAGAGTTTTCTCGTCATTTCTTGCATGTCCGATTATGATGCAACTCTGGTTGGGAGCCGGCTTTCTCACGATGATCTGGCAGTTATGGAACAAACTCCTCCCGTCGCCGAAGATGATGTCGACTGTGCCGCTGATGGTGCAGTCGCGGTAATACTGCCTCTCTTTGTGGGCGAAAAGGGTATCTTGATAGCCGTTGATGTGGCAGTTGTAGTAGACGGCCTTGTCGCCGGATGATCTTAGGGCGACTGCTTGTTGACCTGCTATTCCGGCGGTGTTCTCGAATCCGATGTTCTTGGCTATGAAATGCTTCGCATTTATAGCTACCAAATACAAGAACACACATCAGAATTAAATTATGGATACGTAACGTTCGTATTATAATAATGTTAAAGATCATTATGACTTAATATATATCTACTTACCGACAGTAGTAGTGTGAAACGTGGTAAGCTTACGAACTTCACTACTCAAGTCGCTGGTGATGAGGGTCTTGGTCGGCCCATCTCCGATAAGAATAACATTGTCCATGCCCTTGGTAACGTTGACGTTCTCCTTGTAAATTCCCTTCTTCACGTAAATAACAAATCTTGTGGGATTATTATTTGGAACTTCTGCCAAGGCCTTGTTGATGCTATCGTACTTGCCACTACTATCTTTAGCAACGACGATGTTGGGCTTAATGTCCACCGCTTGGAGGAGCCTTCGATCGCCGGAGTTCATCCACGTTGGGAAATCATCGTTGTCGCTGCTCAACAAGAGCTTTCTTTAACGGGATTTCATCCCCCACTGTGCGAAATCGTCGTCGTCGTTGCTCGAGAAGAGCTTTCGATCGCGAGATATCATGCCCCACAGTGCAAAATCATCGTCGTCGCTGCTCGAGAAGAGCTTCCGATCGCGAGATTTCATCCCCCACAATGCCAAATCATCGTCGTCATTGCTCGAAAAGAGCTTTCGTTTTCTTAATTTCTTCACAGGTTGGACATCATCACCGGGTGGTGTGATCAAATCCCTGATAAAAGACGACAACGAGAAGAGCTTTCGATCATGGGGCTCCATCCCACCCCACTGTGGGAAATCGTTGTCTTCTCCGCTCGACAAGAGCTTCCGTTTGAGTCCAGTGGTGTCGAGATTGTCGATGCCCGGGATGTTGAGGTCCTTGAGGATGGACGATATGCCAGACACTATGTGGAGAGAGTTGCTGGTTAGCTCCTGTGACTTCTTCATTAGACTCCTCATCTTGTCCGCCGCCGTGCCGTTTTTTTCGTTGTACGAGTCTATGCATGTTTGTTGACTCGTGACGGCGCCGCTCAACCACACCTTGAGGTTCATAAGGTAATCGTCGATCTTTCTCATGTTGTATTCACCGAGCGTCTTGAACGAGTTCTCGAGGTCGTCGATGGCGTAACCCATCACCTCCTGGCAAACCTTAAATGCATCCTTTGTCCCTTCATCCGTCTGTAACTCATGGATCGTCGCCGATTTAGACAACACCGCCTGTATCTCCTTCATCGCCGCCTGAAAACTGGCCCTTATCAACTCCTTGGTGTCGGTGGAGTTCGACTGGGACATGCTCTGCTCGCATGTCTCTTTATAATCCACGGGTTGGCAAAGTGCGTGCACCTCCTTCTTAGAACTCGTCCCACCCCGCCATCTCCATCGCTCTTGCTCGAGGTGTGGTTCATTCCCACCACCATGACAACCACCACCGCCACTAGAAACATTGAACATGTAATGATAATTGCAAAGTTATTCGCCATTTTTGAACAGCTTCTCTTCGTTTTTAAAGCATGAAATCTTAAAAATGGCAAGAATAAAACTTCTTTTCTTCTCTCTTCTTGTCTCTTGAATCTGAAGAAAGAAAGAAAGAAGGTTTATATCAGCTGTTGAGTGCTGATAATCCTTATTGTTTAAAGCCCCTTGAGCTCTTCGCTTGAATAATATGTACATTTCCAATGCCATATTTATACTTGAAGGAGACAATCCCCAAATCACCATTTTAGTTAACCCTTCTTTTTCTATGGACGAGAGTTTACCTCGAACTAATAAGAAAACCTAGTCCACTTAGTTAATTTAAATCTAACTATTAAAACGTTAGATAAAATAAGGGTTAATTACACAAATGATCATTAATATTTAAGTAATTTTTTTCCTCCTTTGAAGTTTCAAAAGAAACATATTGGTTACTAAAATTAGGGTTGTTAACCATACCGTTTAGCCTAAAAGGTCGGTTAACCGTTGTAACAGTTATAAGATTTTTTTAACTGTAACCTAACCATTAAAAAACGGTTAACCGTTACTAACGATTCGGTTACAGGTTAACCTACTTTAAACTATTACAATTATTTGTTAATTTTTTTCATAATTAATACTAAAAAAATATAATTAACATATATTTATACTGTTGTAAACGAATAAAATAAAAAAGTATAACATTTAACACGTGATACACTGATATAAGTAAATAAAATAAAAAAGTATAGCATTTAACACATACTTATACCTTGTAATAAAATAAAATAAAAAAATAAAACACTTAACACGTAGTGCAACTTGGATTGAATTGTCAGGTATTCCTCTTCAATGTTGGAATGATATCACGTTGAAGAAAATAGCAGCTCTATGGGGAAACTTTGAAGCGTTCGGAGAAAACCTTGATCACTCATTGAGTTGTGAGAAGGTTTCCATTCTTATTACCACATTGCAGAGATCGAGGATTGAGGAGGTAGTGGAAGTGATGGTTGGAGACAAGTTATTTGAAGTTGGAGTTAAGAGAGCTTGGTTTTGAAGATAAGTCTGAGGCATCTCTCATGGGTAAAGAGGAATCGAAAAGTGTTTCAAGGGAAAAGTCCTATGATAAAAGATCAGTTGAGGTGGCGCCGGAGAAGCTTGAGAGTAGTTGAAGCAGAAACAATAATTGAATCTGTTCTAGGAAGGGGCTTGTCGTTGTAATCATAATATGGAAAAAGGTAACTGCAGTACGCGTGAAGGAGAAGAAGAGATGGCCCCAATTCTAGAACTTATTAGTAACGAGAATGACGTGATTGGGATTGATGGTGCAGTTGAAGGGGCTGCTTCGATGGGTTCAAAAGAGAGTATGGAGGGCCTAGCAGATCCATGTAAGGAAAACCCATTTTCTGATGATAGAAAGGCAACTGTTGACGAAGAATATGATGGTGTTAATGTTAGAATATTGGAAGATATAAATGGGATGGGCCTAAGTGGTCTTAATTGTATGGGTAATTCTAAGAGTCGGTAGAGACGTTAGAATTGGGTAAGAAGCTGGGGATTCAGATAATTGGAAATGAACTTGAGGCTATTAAGGTTTGGCTCTGCTAGAATTAAATAGTAAGCTCGATTAAAGGAGACATGTGAGAAGAGTCTCGAATCGTCCAACTAGAGCGAGCCGAAGAAGCTGATTAGGACCGGGTTTCAGGCGACGGTGACGGAGATAAAGAGGGTGTTGGCGGATTCGAAGACGCTGCAGGAGCTTGAGAAAGACGAAGGGACCTAGGATGCTCTTCAGGTCTGCAAGGAGGTGCTGGATTTCGCCATTGACGACTTGGAGGCGTCGTTTAATAAGCTCGGCGAGTACGATATGATCAAGATCGGCGATATTCTCCTGCGCATCCAGGTGTGGCTGAGCGGCGCCCTCACCAGCCAGCAGACATGCATATACTCGTTCGCGGAGAAGAACGGCGAGGCGGCCGAGAAGATGGAGTCGATCCTGAAAACGGCGCAGGAGCTTAACAAGAACGCACTCACCATATAATTGGCTAGTATTCATTTATAAAAGGCTTTTACAAGTAACTTATTCTTGCTTTATGGTAGAATATAGTTATCTAACTGTTGTTTTAATTGATATGCCTACTTGATTCGATAAATGAAATGACCATCCATCTCAGTTTGTAGAGAACAAGTCTCTTATTCTTGGGGTCGTGAGATCGATCATAATTCGGAGGTCTCTTACGGAAGCAGCTCTCAACCTGGCGTTGAGGGCAGCCTACTATCCTACCTCTTCTTTACCCATGGTAATAAGGGTCAGCTAATTTTTTAATTTTACGTGATTCGATAATATTGCAAAAAAAAACTAAACTAATAGATTTTTTAAAATTAAAAGTTAAGTTTATTAAATTATTTTAAATTAAGATGATTAATAAAATATATAAATTTTAACTATTATTGTACCAAATTGTTTTATTTTTATTGAATGAGTGACATGTTTGTAATAACGTTTTAATTTAATAATTAAATTATAACATATATATATATATATAAGTAATAATCAAATAATTTGGTCACCCTTTTATTTTCTTTTTCTTTTGATTAATCTAGGTTGATGATAAGAAATTGTATTTGTTTTAAAGCCTTTCAACCATTTGATAATTAACGTTCAAATGTTTAGTGCAGTTGTTGGTGCGTTGATATGTAACCTCTAAAGATAATAATCATCTCTTTAATCATTAAGTTCATTTGATTCGTGCGATTTGAATACCCTTTTATTTAGAATAAATTACGCATTTAATACCTAAATTATCAGTTTTAGTCTGTTTTAATACTTAAACTTTTAATTTTTTTAAAAGCATACGTAATGTTTAGTTTTGGTCTGTTTTAATATATAAACTATCAATCTTCTTAAAACATTACGTGAAATTTTGAACGGTGACATTAAAACGGAACAAAAACTAATGACGGAATATTAATGTGAAACAAAAACTAAACTTTATACCTAATTTTAAAAAATTAAAAAAATTATATATAAAAAAACTGATAATTCAAATATTAATCGCGTAATTTATTTATTAGGATAGGTGTCCAACAAAAACATAAAAGGTCAAAACGTAACAACCCAAAAGAACGTGGGTTGTGTCAACGGAGTCCCGTTTGACTTTGTTTGATTGCCTTTCTGTATAAGTCACGTCTAATTGATTTCTACATTGGACTCTTTTGATTGCCTTTCCACACTAAACGCTGTGCAAACCGCGTGGATAAACAGAAGCAAACGACTTTAGATTAGATTTTCGGTATAAATTAGTAGTTTTTATCTGTTTTAATATCTATAGTTTTATTTTTTTTAATTTTATTTTATTTTAATACAACATTTAAAGTTTAACGTTAACTTTTTTTAAAAATTTAAAAATTAAAGATACCAAAATGAATCAAAATTAATAGCGTAGGTATTAAACATGTTTAATTTTTGATGTTGAAATATTAAAATAAAATAAATATTAAATATTAAATATAATTTTAAAAAAATTAAACAAATACTAAAAGTGCAGTTTATCCTAATTTTTAAAAGATAATTTCTTCTCTAAATTTCACACGTACATATAAAGTTGTCTTCCCAAAAAAAAACTAAAAACATCGTATCTTATAAATGTATTTAAAAAATATTAATATCTTCTAAACATATTCCATGAAACACATTAAATGAAAATAAACTCTAAGAAACAAAAGAACAAATTATATTAATTTAATCAAATTTGTACACAAACACAAAATATCTTAACATCAAATATTCCCGATTATCAACAAGCCAAAATCTGCCACGTCTACTTTCACATCGTTTTCAGATAACCTACAGGCTACAACATGAGTGGACTGTCTCGATAAGCTAAAAATAGCCACGTGGCTAAAACTTTTTTCTCTGAGTCACTCACCGAGTCAACTGTGACTTTGCCGAGTCTCGTCTACACCTCGCTCCATAGCCGACTCGGATACAGTGGCGTTTATTGGTGAAGGGCAAGGGCTCGTCCCACTGCCTCTCCTGTCTCTACTCAGTATCCTCTTAAACGACAATATTCGACTCATCGGCGATTTATAAGATTGACTCGGCCCAGACTCACACCCACTCGACTCACCAATGAAACCTTCGATATTCCTTTTAGGGACCTCAATGGATAGCTTCCTCCCAAACCCGACTGCCGACGATCCAGCTGGTCCATCCCCGTGCTGGCACGTGTTACACAAGTCGGATCCTAGATTCGATCCGGATTCCCCGCCCGACGGCTCGTTAACCGTGATAACCAAGTCTCCCGTGTTATCGGATACGGGTACGGATTCTTGAACGGAGGTCCGACAAAGAGGACACGTGGAGTGAGAGTGAAACCACAAGTCGATACACTCCATATGAAAACTGTGGTTGCACTTGGGCAAGACCCGACCTGATTCATTCTCTTCGAATTCCGACAAGCAAACGGCGCACTCGAGGACGGAATCTGGATACGTTTGGGAGGAGAAGGTGAAGGCGGGGAGCAAATTGAGAACACGCGAGTCGAGGCCACTTGAGGCGGCGTCGACGGCGGGGTTCGCAGAGTCGTCAACGTAGAATACGATCTGTGACAATCGACGGCGGCGATTACGAGAATGACGGCGACGAGCGCGTCGAAGGTACCAACGTGCGTAGATATGGAGGGCGAACATGAGCACCACAACGAAGAACAAGACGACGATGGCGCTGAGCATGATTTTGCCGCCCAGAGCGTAGCTGCTGCCGTTGTTGCTGTCGTCATCGCCGCCAGGAGGGAAGCTAGAAGGATTCCTGATTCCATTGTTGTTTCCACTCATGTCTTCCAAGTTTTTTTTTTGGTGCCCTCTGTTTTGTTAGAAAGAAAATGGGCGGAAAAGAGAATAATTGGAGGATAAAAGGAAATGGACGCAAAGGAAAGTTCTTGAGGGTTTCTTAAGGGCTTTGAATTTCCTTGCACCTGCTTTTTCAGTAGGGGTGACACCGGGGCGGTAACATTTTGTATTATTCAATTTGTCTATAATATTTGTGGGTATGATTTTAAGGAATTCTCATTGTATATTTTAGGGATTCTTTAATTCTTATACTTATTCCTTACGAATCTTTGTGAATTTCGATTAATTTTCGTACCAAAAAGTAAACAAATAGTTTTTAAATAAATGTAATATCTAAATTTGTAAGATATATCAGATTGTTTTAAATTAGTTTCTATTTAAAATATAAAAGTTTCAAACGTCAATATTCATCTAACATCAATGTATATATACAATTTTAATCGTTTTCAATTTCAACAAATCAATATATATTAAATGAAAAATATTTAAACTTCAATTTTAATTTTTTTAGATGTAATAGTGACAACACGTAATCTCGTAATCTTATCATATATATATATTTATTAAAATATATATATCAAGGATATGGAGGTAAATAATTATAAATGTTTTTTTAAAATTTTGTAAAATATCAAAAATTTATACGGATATTTTTTAGGGATCTTTACGGGTACGGTTCGGTTATCTCTACGATTCGAATATAACAATTCATATTCTCATCCTCGTTTGAACTTCGAAAATAAAACTTCCTCTATTTCCATCCCTATAAATGAAGATTTCGATTATTTTCTATCTCCATTAGTTTAGATCCCCATGATCTTCGATTTTTCACCATCCAATTGCTATTAGGGATTGTCACTCAACCCGAACCCAACCCGATCGGGTCGGATTTTTTTGAAAAAAAATCGGATTCGAGTCGGGTTTTTTAAGTATGATATTCGGGTCGGGTTTAAGGTGAAAAATACTCGACCCGACCCAAAAAATATATATAATATTACCTTATATATTTAGGAATATTTACAATAATACTCATCTATATATAATTTTTTCAATTAAGTCACTATTTTTATTGACTAAAAATATTTTTTTTTTATTTTGAGTCGGATCAGGTTTCTAAATCATATATTCGGGTCGGATAAGATCAAGTGAGACCTTATTTTGATCGGGTCAGGTCTCAGGTGGATGTTCCCTTATTCTCAGATCGGGTGAACCAAAAACCCAACCTAACCCGATCCGACCCATTGCCATCCCTAATTGCCACCCTTATTTTTCAGTCTACCACCAGCACGTCAACTTTGACGCGGGATTATGTTCATTTACTTCAATGCCCTGTTTAGTGTAGCAGCTCACACAAATCCAACATTTAGTGGTGGTGGTTAACCATAATAATTTGATTCAAATGTGAGGGTTTTTTTTCGAGAGTGCCTGATTTTTTTCTTTAAGGATACGGGTTCGGACCGGATTTTGTAAATGGTAAGATCGATCAATTTTTAGAATGAAAAATTTCTTACTCGATCCAACATAAGATAAGATAATAGTATTTTCAATATAGTTAGAGATAATTATTATAGTATTTTTTATATATTTAATCAATTAGTTTCTTATTTTACCAAATAAAAGTAATATATATATGTATATATATATATATATTTGTTTCTAGCAAGGTCAAATATATATCTTTAACCTAAAATTCAACTTAAATTTTAAATCGGATTGGACCTCCTAAAATCGAGTCAGATCAAAATTGAGTTAAAAATATATGCTTCTCGAATTTAGTTAGTCAAAATCTCAACCTAATTTAATTTATCATCATCCCTAATAATAGCATAGGGGTAAAATTCCACCAAATCAAGCTGTAATTTTCACCTTGATATAATATGATTATTATCTAAATCTATTTAAAAATATAGGGTAAGCTATCAAACTTTAGGCAATGTATCATTTATATCACTCAACTTTTAATTTTACCAATTATAACACAGAACTTTGATTTTCATTAAATCAAAATGATAGTTGGGTCAAAATGATGTCGTTTTGGTGAGGTGTTTACATCGACAGTCTTCAGTCACATCGACAAACGTTAGTGATGTCATCGTTCTGTTAACGATTTCAACGATTCAGTGGTATAATTAAAATGAAAAATCAAAATTCAGTGTTATAATTGACAAAATTAAAAGTTTAGTGGTATAAACGATACATAGCTTAAAGTTCGGTGGTATATGATGTAGTTTACCCTAAAAAATCTACTTAACAAGTATTTGATGTGGACATGTTATGGTATATTTTAATCTTAAGAAAATTAAATTTGAAGTTGGAAAATATATCATTAGAATTGGTCATCATAAATTTTAAATATGAACTACAAAAAGAAGACATGAATGATACAACAAATTTGAAGTTGTTATATGGACATTTAAGATATTTTATTTTCCATATATATAAATATCATTGTTCTCTTAGAATTCTACGGTGTGACACAATACGGCTAAAGAAAGACGCTACCGGTTTTGTTATTATTTTTTTAACAAAATCTATAAAAATTTACCTAAAACATTATTATTTATACCTAAAACATTAATATTTTTTAACAATTCCGGTAAAGTGTCCAATAATAACAAAATCGGTAAAAAAAAAATAACAAATTCGATAGTGTTTTACTGGATATGTTAATAAAACCGGTAAAGCGCCCAATAATAATAAAATCGGTAGAAATAATAATGTTTCCGAAATTTTTTTATCGATTTTGTTAAAATATAATAACAAAACTGATATAGCCTTTTTTTTAACCGTAATAAGATTGCCTCACGTAATCATTTTCCTTATTTTAATCTTATATTAAGATGTTGTGTAATATCCCAAAATACGGGTTAGTGACTAAATTGTAAAACTTCAGAATTTGGTGATTAAAGTAGAATAATTGGATAATTCAATGATTTATCTGGAAGGATTGTTAGTAATTATTAAAAGAATTAAAGGGCAAAATGGTCATTTAACCATTAAATGATTAAATTGTATTATGTTGAGGATATATATGGGGGAAAGGGATAAGAAGAATATCTCTTCTTCTCCTCTTTGTTCTTCCATACGAGAGAAAGCCACAACAAATGTGAGTTTTCTATTTTCTTGGTTATTTGTTGTTTTAAAAGTTGGGTTATGATCACTAGATGATAATTAAGCTTAAGGAAAGCTTAATTTGTTCTAAAATAAAAAGATGAAGAAGTTATAAGAGATTTAAGAAAATGAGTTTTTATATGAAATCATGCAAAAAAGTTGATAAGTTGAATTTGAAGTTAAATTTGACTTGTCATCATGCTAATTAAGGAATATGAAGTGTTAGAATGGTATTTAGAACATATTGAAATTTGAGTATGATTCTTGAATTACATATGAAGGATAGGATTTTGAAGTTATAGATGATTTTCATGGATATAAGTTGGTTTAAGTAATGGTAGTTGAGTTTAATGACATGATAGAGGTTTAAAATAAAAGAATTAAGTGAAGAATTGATGATTTTAGGGGTTAAAATACAATTTCTGGGTAGAGGGAACCGATACCCTATGAAGGGAATCGATTCCCCCTCTTGGACGAAAATTCCAGTATGTGCAGGGGGAACAGATTCCCCCCTGGGGGGTATCAATTCCCCCTAAATGAAAAAATGGAATTTGATTCATTAAACCAGTTTAAGTTATTAACATCAAGTTTAAAGTTTAGGCTTCTGATAGTTGTTTTGAAATGATATATTTATGTAGATATTGAGCCTAAACAAGTTCCGGAATAATCAAAGGATTATAATCGAATCAAAGAAAAGCTAAGGTGAGTGCAATTTTAATTGTACTTATATTATTGAACGAACATTGGCTTGCGATGAGCCAATGATGGAGTTACTATGGTAAGAAGTGACTCCTAAAATGTTATTTGATATGTGATTCTTATATGTACATGAATACATGATATGCATAAACATAAGAGCATGAAACATAAGATATATGATATGATATACATGATTATATGCATATGTGATATATACTATGATATATGACCAATGTGAAATGAAATAAGCTATGTGAATATATGAAATGACATATGAATATGCAATATGTGATATGATATGAAATATATGGTTACATATACATGTAGTATGTGACAGAAGAGAAAGAACAAGTGATGAGAAATATATTCATAATAAATGCCCATAGTATATGATACGAGAGCTATAGGTATAGTTGGCATGCCAAAAGTCGAGGGTATTGTAGTCCTTCGGGACGTAGTCCTTCGGGACGTAGTGGTCCTACGGGACATATATAGCAGTCCTTCGGGACGAATACTGAACAAATGTTCGGTGCCCCATGAGGGAATTTATACGAGCTGTGGTGACAGCATTGGTGCACAACCTCAATGTACTCACATACCTCTATTCTCAATAATATACATGGGCAACAACAACAACAATTGAAATATAAATTAAAGTGAAAGTGATGCAAAAAGGTAAGTTTCATGTGTGCATGACTTGATTATATATGTCATAGGAAGTATATCCATGCATATTGAAATATCATGATCAAATGGTAAGAATGCATTTTCATGAATCTACTGTTACATGTTTATTTATTGCCTCACTAAGTCTATGACTTAGCGTGTAAGTGATTTACACGTAGGTACCAAGAAACGTGAAGAGCAAGAATAGAAGTGGCAATGACAGTATTATTACTAGAAGATCATATCAGAAGTAATCGACAAAGTATGTATTTTGTTGTGTATAGAGTGTTGGCATGTAATAAGTCGTTAATTATGAGTACTCTGATCAAGTTTGTATTTTGTGGTCTCTTTTATATAAATTAAAGTATTTTGTTTTAAACAAGTTTTAAATTCCCCGGGGTTTTTCTTTAAGTGTCAAGGTTTGAAAAGTCAATGGGACACCTCAGACTCGTATTCGGGTCGGGTACGGATTGGGGTGTTACAGTTAATGGCATCAGAGCCAGGTTTAGTCGATTCTCGGTATAAACCGGAGTCTTGAGTGTTTTATAAGGTATACATGCCAACAAAATAGTGAAAACTTCTGATCTGATGGAATAGTGAGTATACTGTTGTGCTAATAGAACTATATGATTGTATTTTTATAGATGTCCGGATAAGGTAGTTCAACAAATGAAGTGGGAGATGATATACCCGCTGAAAGTAGTAATTCACCTGCCCTGACCAGGCAGAGTGAAGAACAGACACCCTCTGGAGTGCATGTGAATGATCAAGATGTATTCTTTAGAACTTTAGACGCAGTATTGACGCGTTTTCAACCTCCTGTTACTTTAACTCCAAAAATAAATGTTGCGAATGAGTTGAAGGGATTAGGAGCTCTAGAGTTTAAAGGGGAAGCCGATGAAGGTCCTGTTACTGCAGACCTTTGGCTTAATGACGTGAAGGTCATGCTTACGGGACTTCATTGTTCCAATGCTGAGAAGCTAGATGGAGTAATTTCTTTGTTGAGAGGACAAGCAAGGATCTGGTGGACCAATGTTACATTGAGGATGATTAACGCCCAAGTAACTTGGTCATTGTTTTTAGAAGAATTCAAACATAAGTACATCGGAGATCAATTTGTTCGTCAAATGAAGCAAGAGTTCATGAATCTGAAGCAATGGAATCACACTGTATATGAGTATGAGTGTGAATTCAATAAGTTGAGTCGCTTTGCTGCCGAGCTTGTTCCTACTGAGAAGAATGCTTGTGAGTGGTTCGTAGAGGGGTTACGTCCTCGGTTAAAGGAAATGTTGATTATATTGAATCTATCCTCGTTTCAAGAGGTAGTCAATCGTGCCAAAGCTTTGGAAAGAGCTCAGAATGAGAGATTTGAAAATTCAAGGACTCAAACAGTCAAGAGAACGGATGCTTCTTCGAGTTCCGCACCGTCAAAAAGAGGCAGAGATGCTGGTTCTCGACCTCAAGCTAGATCGGAGTCAGTGGTATCCTCAGCTAGAGGATCAAATCCGATGAGAGGCAGACAAACTAAATCAGCAGGATCTGGAGCTGGGAGATTTAACCAGAGTCAAGACAAACAATGCCAACATTGTGGAAAGAATCATTTTGGGATATGTAGAAGGATTTCTGGAGCTTGCTATAGATGTGGGGAGACCGGACATTTTGTTCGGGATTGTCCTAGAGTAGTCGATGAATCTGCACAGCCATAGAGGTCTATTTCTGCAGGCCAAAGGGGAAGAGGTAGAGGCAGAGAAAGAAATCAGTCAGAGTCCTCTGCTCAACAAGATATACGTTCCACTGCTCGAGTGTATAATCTCAGGACCAATGAGGATCGGGATGACCCGGAGATTATAACATGTACCTTTCTGTTGTTTGATAAACGGGTTATGGTATTGATTGATACGGGTTCTACATATTCATACATTACTAGTAAGTTAGTGAGAGAATTGAACATTCAATTAGAAGCTACTAACAATGAGGTGATAGTGACGAATCCATTAGGACATAGTGCTTGGGTAAATATGGTGAGTCGAGGGTGTACCATACGAATTTAGGGAATTGAATTCCCTGCTAATTTGATGGAATTACCTTTTGAAGAATTTGAAGTGATACTGGGAATGGATTGGTTATATCGTTATTATGCTAATGTTAACTGTAGACTGAAAAGATTAACGTTGAGAAGTCCAGAAGAGATAGAAATCGTGGTGTTTAGTGAAAGGTGGAATCCATTGGCAAATGTGATCTCAGTGATGACGGCAAAGAAGTTATTGTTACAAGGATGTCAAGGGTTCATTGCTAGTGTGTTGGATGGAAGAGCCAAAGACAAAGAGATTGAAGAAATTTCTATCGTTAGAGAGTTCTCTGATGTATTTCCTACAGAATTGCCAGGTTTACCTCCGGACAGAGAGGTAGAATTTCAGATTGAGATAATGCCGCGAACATCGCCCATTGCAATGGCACCATACATGATGGCTCCAAAAGAGTTGCAAGAATTAAAGATTCAATTACAAGAATTGCTGGACAAAGGTTTTATTAGACCAAGTGTATCACCTTGGGGAGCTCCAGTTTTATTTGTTAAGAAGAATAACGGTTCAATGCATCTCTGCATTGACTACAGACAACTCAATAAAGTGACCATCAAGAACAAGTATCCACTTCCCCGAATAGATGATTTATTTGATCAATTAAAGGGAGCTTCAGTGTTCTCAAAAATTGATTTACGTTCGGGTTATCATCAATTAAAGATTCAAGAGAAAGATGTTCCAAAGACAGCGTTTAGAACAAGATATGGTCACTATGAGTTTATTGTAATGCCGTTTGGAGTTACGAATGCACCAACTGCTTTCATGGATCTAATGAACATAATTTTTTAACCCTATTTGGATCAATTTGTGGTGGTTTTCATTGATGATATTTTAATATATTCAAAGTCAGAGGAAGAGCATAGTTCTCATTTGAGGATTATCTTGCAGAATTTACGAAACAATAAGCTTTATGCTAAATTCTCTAAATGTGAATTATGGTTGAATGAAGTGACATTTCTTGGACATGTAATTTCTGCAGAAGGAGTTCAAGTGGATCCTCAAAAGATTAAAGCTATTCTGGAGTGGGAAGTTCCAAAGAATGTGACAGAAGTTCAAAGTTTTCTGGGGTTAGCTGGTTATTATCGAAGGTTCGTTAAAAACTTTTCGATCATAGCATTACCCCAAACTAAACTGTTAAAAAAGGAAGTAAAATTTGTTTGGACTCAAGAATGTCAAGAGAGTTTTGAAAAGTTAAAGAAGATTTTGACAGAAGCTCCAGTGTTAGTTCAACCTGAGTCTGGCAAGGACTTTGTAGTGTATAGTGATGCGTCTCATAATGTCTTGGGGTGTGTATTAATGCAAGAAAGCAAGCTCACTGTAGTCCATTGACGATGCATCTAGGAGGAAACAAAATGTATATGGACCTCAAGAGTCGATATTGGTGGCTGGGAATGAAGAAAGACATTACGGAATTTGTATTAAAATGTTTGATTTGTCAGCAAGTTAAGGTTGAGCATCAGGTTCCATCGGGACTGTTACAATCAATTTCAATTCCTCAATGGAAATGAGAGAATGTAATAATGGATTTTGTGACGGGGTTGCCTTTAACTCCGAACAAAAGAGATTCAA